TCTCTCTCTCTCTCTCTCTCTCTCTCTCTCTCTCTCTCTCTCTCTCTGCGTCTTCTCGCCAATGTTTGTTTGTTTGTGTGGGGTTTGTATGATAATAAGCCCGGCAGGGCGAGCTCTACGGCGGGATGTCGGCGCTGAAGGAGAGCCGGTGTTACGGACTGTCCACCGGTAAACTGAACGGCGGCAACGTCTCTGTTTTTCATGTCAAACTCACTGACAGCGCGGCAAGAGCCATTGGCTACTCTGAAAACCACAAGGTAGGCTATTTACTAAACAATTCTTCATTCACCGTTGTCTCAAACGTACAGTACCGGTTGATATCGGTTGTACCACTTCGTCAAGGGGAGCTCTACTTAAAAACAACGGTAGTGATAAAAACAGGCGAGGAAGGCGGGTTTGTGATTATTTTTTTTTTTCTTCATTTCAGCCAAAGTTCACCAAATCTCTTCTTCGGTTGTTGTCTCCCACAAGTCTCCTTTTTTTGAGCTATGAAATGTTAAATACGTGTTGCATATTGCAACATGGAAACCCTTCCCTGTGTGCTGGTAGCAAGCTGCTGGGCAAGTATTGTGAATGTTCACCAGTCGAGGGGAGAAGAAAGGAAACAGGCTGTGGAAGGGGGGGGGCTAGTAGTAGTAGTAGTAGTAGTAGTAGTAGTAGTAGTAGTGGTAGTGGTAGTAGTGGGGGGCATGTTGGATTAAGAGATGGAGTACTTCTCCTTTTTGCAGGCAGTTTTAGGTTCAGGGAGACAGATGGACAGAATACAACTCAAACATTTGACTTACTCACAAAGGACTCGGACCGTGCAGGAAGTCCCAGCTGACAACAGTCATGTACAACACTTCCTCTATTCAGTAATTCCCAGTAACCCGGTTAGGAAACTCCTTGGTGAACATGTTTTCTCATTTACTGATGAGAAGTGAGAACACCGCTCCTGTTATACTTCTAGTTATTCTTGTAATGAGATAGACAGGAAGGAGTGGGAAAACACCTAACACAGAGGGTTTAAACCATGTACACAATACTGCTGCTGCTGCTGCTGCTGTTGTGCATGTATCTAGTTTCTTTATTTAGCTTTAAGTGTGGCTATTCATAACCCACACGGTCTGATCACAGACTACTCTGCATGAAGCCCGGCCAAAACCGACTGCTGGCAGCCACCCTCACTCTCTCTGCACTCATCAACAGGTGGACTCACAAATCCTCTCCATGAAAAGGTCAATTTGATTCTAGTCATCGAGCTGCAGACGTGTCACTTTCGTTTCTTCCGTTTTCCTACGAGATGACAGGCCTGTTCACAATAGTCTCATGTGACAAGCTGGTCTTGATGACCTTAGACAGTGGCCACTTTATACCCAATTTTAATGTATTTAAAGGCACTAGTGTCAGGATACACAAAGCGTACATTTCGCAGGGAGTGAAAGTAGAAAGAGGAAAAAGTGGAACGTATGATTTGTGTTTAAAAACCTATAACAATGAATCTGTGTTTAGAGGGGAACAAGCTCTTAAGTATGGCCGCAGTGTGAAAGTATTCATCATCATTAGGGATGATAGGCTGGATCAATCTCTGCGCAGATACAGAGATTAATATGGGATTCCCTCATTAATCTCTGTGTGCTATGTGAGCAATCCACCGTAGATGAAGTGCTTTTTGGACACAGATTTAGCTTTGCAATTGTCACAATGGACAACAAAAAAACAATCTAAATTTGATGCAGCATCACCGGAGATATTGTCTTCTTTTTTTATTCCACACGTTCTTTTTCTACCGTGTCAAAACTTGGTGCCTACATTACCCACAATGCAAACTGATCATGTACAGTTCAGGTGAATGTAGCAGCGAGAGATGAGGAGCGGGCCACGAACGTAAGCTCACCTCAAACTCATTTTCATTTTTTTTTCATTTATTTTTTTACTTTTGTCTTCAGCCACAATTGTTACTCAAGTGACATCACTCGAGGCAATCAGTCGGATTCCGCGCAGCTCCTTTTAGCGCCACTAAAGGCTTTTCTGAAAGTGACTCCAATGAGTTCTTAGCAGTTTACAGACAACAATTTTGGGAACTGGATAGCCTGGTACTGGATTGGTACTTGGGTACTGAGAGATAAAAAAAAAAGTGGAATTAGTGCATTGCTTGTGTCATACATGAAGAGCAACAGCTTACAGGCTGAAGAGTAAATGTTGAGTTGAGTAATAGCAGTAATGAAACCACAAACATCCTCTATGTTGTACGTTTTACATGCCGGTCTGCTCTCAGATCTGTGTGACTGTATTTGCACGTCTACAATGTCTCAATGATTTGTCTTTTTTTTTTTTTTTTCTTCAGGGTTGGTCCTCCCGTCCCACCATCTGTTTTAATGGCAACAAAGGGGTAACTGTTGACCTACACTAACTGGATAATCTCATCTCGTGCATGAAGGTTTTGAAAGATGTTGAATCTAATTGTTTCTCTGGTCTCTCTCTGCCTCTTGTCACAGAGAATCACCGTCCCTTGCGCTGAGAATAGAGATGAACTGAGGAGCTTCACCTTCGGCTTGACGAACGTCGCCCGTGATAACCCGCACGGAAGCTTTGACTGCTTCCAACAGCACGGCACTGGGTAAAAAAACATTTCACACACTTTATGGCGCATGAGATTTATGTGTAAACATGTTAGTGCAAAGTGATTATATGTTTACGAGTCACCCTGCTGGTTTACGTCTCTCTGTCAGACTCTTTAAATGCCAGAAACCCCTCCAGGGAGTCCTGACTGTGCAGGTCTAGGAAGTCTGGAAATGTAGAGTTGTGTTTTTTAATAGATGCCAAGAGTCTCTTTGAGTCCTGACAAAAATACAAAAGCAAGCTTTTAGAGCTGTTGCCAAAATTCAAATAACATTGCACTACAGATAGATGTTGTGTGTTTGGTAGTAAAGGAGTCCAGCTGATCGAGGACTGGCACTCAAACAATCTTAGCATGACGCGTAGAAGACGTCCTGAAAGCTCCGTCAGGTCCCCTGTTTGTTTTTTTTAACTCGCTGTCCTCGCTCCTCCCAGTGCTGCCGAGGAGCTGTCATGTCTCGGGGTGATCCAGAAAAAGATGACCGTCAACGCCACGGATGACTCGTACGACAAAGCTCGCCAGAACATGGCCCAAGCTGAGGAGGAGACACGCAGCCGAGGAGCCATCGTCATCAAACAGGGGGGGCGCTTCCAGGGTAGGAAGACGCAGAGAAACACTCTGCTGGGTTGTACAAGACATAACCCCAGCTCAGGAATAAGACTAGCCTGAAGACACATGTGTACTGTGCTGATTACGTCCAACAAAATACAGTCGGCCATATTGCATTGGTTGCCGTAGCAACATGCATAGTAACCAATGACATGGTAACAGTCGGGTCTTATTTACTTCTGCAGTTTTTTTTTGTCCTGTTTGTCTGTTTTCTGCTAGACTGTACTGCTATGTACAGCACATATAATGTATATTAAAGTTATTTTAAAGGATACGGAGTCTCCACAAACGTACAGAGACGGTATACTTGCTCACCAAAATATACGAACGCACGATAAAACCAGTGATTTCGCTTTTTTTTTTTTTTTTTTTTTTTTTGGTTACCGCTGTCTTTCTTCTAACCACCAAACCACTTCCTTCTAAACAGATATTTTAGTCACGTCATCTTGTTTCAGTCAACATACGCACACGCGCGCGCACGCACACACACACACACACTAGTTTTGATGATTTTGTCAGTTCAGAGGAAGCTTGTGCAAAAAAACCCACTTCCTCGCTCACAACAGGCTTGTGCAACTGTGTGGTTATTTCCTAAATTAGATGGCAGCTTTTGCTCCCTGAGACTTGAATGCTTGTAACCCAGATGTGGCTTTCTGAAGAGGTGTAATGAGGTCTTTTCTCTTTTTATCCTCTAAGTCCTCTTCCTCTGGTGTCTGATCTTGACAGATGCAGCCTGGAAAAGCACTATTTTTAAGTATCACACTTTAGAAGTGGGATTCGTCTTCAACCTAGGCAACATTTTAAGAATAACGAAAAAAAAACTAGAGCAAACGGTAACTTACCTTTTTGATGTTGGATACCTCAGCCAAGCATGTTTTTGCTTTTATAAGGCACGTGCTGCCTTTGATGTGGAGATCACCTTCTTCCCTCGCAGGCAAGAAGGTGACGGTGCGAGCACCGGCCCCCGCGCTGGCCGGCCTGACCAAGCCCCGACACGCCGACAAGTCCCAGTCTCTCCTCGGCAACGTCAAGAGGGGCGTCCAAGTCGGCGCGTCCAAGCCGAAGAAGGGGGCCTGTGCTCCGAACAGGAAGAGCGTGACCGACGTGCAGGAGAGGCAGCTCAGGGACAGATTAACGCATCTGCTGGCTCTGAGGCCGTACAGGAGGCCTGAGCTCATCTTGAGGCTGCAGAAAGACGGACTGACGGCAAAAGACAAAGACATGCTGGACTCTGAACTGATGGAGGTAATTTGTTTTTCCTCTGTAGCCAGATAAATAAAGGTCTCATTATAAGAACCATTTAAATGAAAATCACAGGGGATCTTCTTAGTTATGATTGTAAACATCAAGTTTAAATGTAAATTGTAAACACCGTCACCCTGAAAACTATTTATACAGATCAAGAAAATGAATTTGTTCTCTTGAGCACCGAGTATTTTCTCACCTGCTTTATCTTTGTGTGTGTCTTCGTGTTTGTGTGCAGGTTGGTCAGCTCAATAGTAGAGACAACACATTTGGTCTAAAGGACGGTCTGTACAAGGAGCTGCAGAGGGACTGGCCAGGCTACTCCTCCGGAGACCAGCAGCTCCTCAAACGAATCTTTGTCAGGTAACACAAATGAGATACTTGCCACCGTGTTCGTATCGTAGCAGCATCTCAAGAGTTGTGAAGAAGATTATACTATATGCAAAAACAAAGTGTAGATTTGATGAAATCGTTTATTCATCACCTTCTTGTGACTTTGCAGGAGGCTGTTTCAGCCTCAACAGAACCTCCTCACCGTCCCAGAGGCCCAGGTCAGTCCACTACGAGACACCCCCAACTCCTCCCCGGCGCACCGCCCAAAACCTTCCCTGCCCGAGGAATACACTGACCCTTTGGCGAGTAAGAAGCCCAGGATATCCCACTTGTCTAGCAAAACAACCAGAGACAAGCCAAGAGTGAGGCCCGCCAAACGAGCGGCTCATAAAGTCGTCACGGAGGAGACGGGCAATGACGGGAAAAGGGACTCGCTTGATCGTCGAAAGCTTTTTGACTCCCTGTCGGCAGTCTGTCAGCGGGAGGCAGAAGTGGCCAAGAGGCTGGAACCAACTCCCTGTGCTGAGGAGGAACCCGAAGTTCCGGCATCATACCCCCCTCAGCCCAACCCCGATCGCCCTCCGTCCCCTCTGATGGTGCCTGATCGGAACAGACACACAATCAAAAGGAAGAAGAGCAAACGCAAACACAGAGATCAGGTGAGAAAAACACTTTTCATTTCATTCTGGTTGTTCTATTTCACGTGCCGCATCGGTGATTGGGACTTTGTTTTTGTCGGTCAAGGAGAAGGATAGGTTGAGAGGAAGGAAAGAAAGGAGGAAAGATCACAGTTCAGAGGATCCAAACGATAAAGTCTCCTTGTACTGCATAGGTGAGCGCTGTTACGTGTTGACTAGTGACATAACGTGTCAAATATTCAGTATCCTAAAATTTCTTGTTTCTTTTTCCTTTCAGAGCCAAGTGAAATGTTGTTTGACTCTGGTGTGCTCCAAGCAGACAATGACACAGTCGACTATCTATTGTAAGTAAACCTTTAATTGGTTATTCGCCACAAAATGCATCCAAATAATAAAATCCAGTATTTTTAGATAAAAGGTTTAGTTATCAGGTTTGTGGTTGTTGTTTTATTTTGCGCTACTAAACGTCTGCAAGTTGTTAACACGTTATTCTGTTGGCGGGTTCTTTACTGATCTGATCAGAGTGTCCCTTTTATGTTCTCTGCACAGGAAGTACGCAGTGATTTCCAATCACGACCAGAGACAGAGCTACAAGCAGGACTTCAACACGGAGTACAGCGAGTACAGAGATCTACACGCTCGTATCGACGGAGTGACGCGGCAGTTCATGGAGCTGGACGCGCAGCTTAAACGGCTGCACCACGAGTCCCATAAATACAAGGCATGTTCCAGTCCTTCGTTTCATACAAATATGAAACGATAAATCCACTCATTTCTGTCATAAACTCTGTTGTTGCACCAAGTGCAGAACGGTAAGTAGAGGTGTAACAAACACATAATCCTCAGCTGAGCACAGTGTGTTTTCCTTTTTGAGGGAAAACAAAAGAAATGGAGAGAATTTTTGCCATTCAATTCTGAAAATGTCAAAATAAATTGCGCTTCGTAGGCTATGATTCTCACTGTAAACATTATGGCACTGAAATGTCAGCATATGGTCGTTAAGAAAAGAAAAAACACAAATATCAATAAGAAATAGTTATTCCATAAAAGGTGCCCTGTGGAGTTTCCTGTCAAACTAAATCTATGATTACCTTCACTGTTACTCACCACAACGCCCTGTTCGTTCTTGAGGTCTAACAATTATGTTTGATGCATTTTCTTCCTCATGAAATAATTTTGATAATGAAATATTTTCATATAATATTTCTATTGATGATTTAATTTTTGCTTTTTTTGTTTTTCCATCACATTTATATTATTGGGAATGCCTTTTTTTTTTTTTTTAAGACATTTTTCCAACATTTAGCAAGCTTATGTAATATCTACCTGCATTAATTCCTTCTCGTCCTCTCTCACAGACGGTTCGTTATCAAATTCTTCAGGAGTATCGCAAAATCAAAAAGGTGACAACTTCCTTTTAAGACTTGTCAATGTTTATCCCAAGATTGCTGCATGTGGCAACTCCGCTCCTCTCTGTTGCTGTTAAATAATCAAGTCTTTTATTTCTTTTGTCCCTTTTTTTTTAGTCCAACCCCAACTACAACCAGGACAAGACTCGCTGTGAATATCTCCACAACAAACTGGCCCACATCAAGAAGCTCATATCGGAGTACGACCAGCAACAGTTCTGACTGTGAGACCAGTGAACTTGGAGAGCGCAACGATCACCCTGAGACTCGCTGGCTCACGCTGCTGAGCTGACTGCCATCGAGCTTCAAATCTATGGTCTTCAAACGGAGTCTCGCAAGACCTGCTGGAAATGTCACTGAGGTTGGGAGACATTTGTGCAGAGCAGCGGGAAAAGCAGACGAATAATATGAGAGATTTTATTTCAAAATGGGAAATCTTTGAGGGGAAAAAAATAAATGGTTTGACCAATGCGCTGATACTACTGTGACACGTTACTGCCAAGGACACATAGTTTCAATTGTTTTACATTTGTAGATTCATCATCAATTTGTTTATGAATTTGGGTAATTGCTTATGTGTTCTGTTAGCCATGTCAGCATTTAGGTTTAAGCCAGAAGCATGAGATAACCGCACGCTGTATGTACCCAGACGGCTCGTATGAATAGCAGATGTGGACACACCGAGAAGACGTCTTTTCTCTGGGTTTCGGGAATTGAGACTTTATCGGTGTGGTGTTCTCCTCAGTTCAGATCTGCTCAGTAACGACTCCTCCGATAACGAAAGTATTGCCAGTGCCTGAAGTGGTTTCTGAGTCTGTACTGGATTCACAGTGTTCTATGGTGTTCTCCCTCTTGTGGCTTTGCTGGATCACAGAAGACTGTTATGTTAAACACAATGTGAGCTTGAAGTATTGAGAGCTGTTACGGGATGAGCTGCACTAACAGTGTTACTGAAAACTGGATTTAATGATTAGTTACAAAGTCGTTTATAGTGTAGGCTGAGACGGAGAACAATTAAGAAATATTAAAAAAAGTGTTGCATGCTGTGTACTTTACTGAATGCATGAGGAATAATCTGAAGTTTTGTCTGTTTCAAATAAATTTAATTTGTATTCATTTTGTATGATTTCTTTTTCTTCTTATTTATGATTTTTTTTTTCAGGCCGGGCCAAATCTCCTGCAGTCATTAATCCTCTAAAGCTGGACACTAAAGTAATGAATATGTACAAATAATGTACTGGATTAAATATTAATCTTGATCTATTCCAGTCAGGCACCTGTAGCGGACAACAAATGCATGTTTTTACTATACAGAATGTCTGCCAGACAATTTATTCCTACAAAAACTACACACAGACATGCTGTTGCTCAAGCTGTAGCATTTATCAGAAAATAAATGTCTAGTTAGATAGTGTAAGTATGGATCAGTGATGTATTAAAGACAGGTGCAAGACAATGTTCAGCTCAATTCCTATCAGTTTTTGGTTAATAATGAACTGCGTTGTCTGTTAGACATGTTATTTATGAAAACACAGTCTTCAGAATGATTTAAAACTGTTAGATGTTTACATTTGCTGTAATAACTCTTCATAAACCTCAGTGTAGCATTAGTCAGGGTTGGTCACTTTCATGTCACAGGCATTTTTACATTATTTAAAAACAAAAAACTAAAAACTAAAGTCCTAATTCAATCCTATTCTGGGCAAACTGCTTGGGGAAAATTGTATATTTAAAGTAGATATTAGTTAGTTTCCTCTCCAGGCACCACATGAGATGGACAGGTTCTACAAAAAGTGTGTAATGTCTCTTTAAATCTTAAACGAAGCAACTTTGTCTTCCCTAGTCGTCATCGACTGAACAGTGACGAAACGCTCACAGCTATTGGTTCAATCTCAAAGAAGGCTTCTCATTGGTCCGTTGTCGTCGGCGTGACCTTTCAACCCCCGTAAATCCCTCAAGCTAGTTGTAGCAGTAAACAGTGCAACGGTGTTCATTCTTAAGGAACCGAAACGTCCTTCAACTTTGTCACAGATTTCGCTCTTAGATATGACACGAAAGAAGACACGCGGTCAGAAAGATGCAGGTTGTTAGCCGGACGTTTACGGTGAGTAAATGCGGTAAACGGTAAACGCCTCATACTCAGAGTATTTCCTCCCTAGTTACACGAACAACACAGTAGTAACGTTACATTAGATAGTAACGTTCAAAGTCAAAACTCAGGTTGTTCCGAATTGGACTGGTGATATTTAGACAGCAAAAATAAATATCACAAAGTCGAGTGCTGATGAGCAACTGAAACTAACACCAGGTTTCTCTCTGTGGATTCAAGTTCTTCTAGAGCTGTTCAGTAAGTGGAGAGCTCGTGAATAAGTTACCTATAGACTCATAATCTACAGGAGGACAGTACTTTGAGACTGCATCACAGCAGTGGCTTGTTAACTAACAAACATTAGCTACAAAGCTGACAAATGAGTAGGCATGTGTAGTTTTAGTTGTAGTTTACCCAGCTGCTCCACACACCTAGTGTGTCTCCATGCCAGGTACATATGTTGAGGAAACAGCTTAATGATTCGTCCTCTCTTCCCTGCAGCCTGTTTGCGCCTGTACTCCAGTCATGGTGGGGTTTTTCCAAAGAACATTGAGGCTGAGGACGGCTCTCAGACATCTGAGCCCCCACAGCACCGTCTCATCCGCAGCCACAGCCGGACGTTCTCCTGTGGACCTTCGCGGTTCATTCCTTCCCGCCGCCTCATGGCAGGTCGGAGTCTGCTGTCGAACGCTGCACTCGGGGTCAGACGGGTCCAGGCCGTCCCCTGCTGCAGCCCCAGACAGGCTGCCCTTCTCCAGGATAACTGGGGAAGATTTAGCCTTCTTCAGGAAGATCCTACCGGGCAGAGCCATCACTGACCCCGACCTGCTGGAGTCCTGCAATGTGGATTGGCTGAAGTCAGTGAGAGGTCATGACTGGAAATTAATTCAGCTCATTCCACTTCAAGATGGAAGTTCCACCGATTCACAGATGTCTTTCATCTTTCATTTTCTCTGTTCATGCGTCCTCTGCAGGTTCCAGTGATGTGTTACTGCGACCTCAAACAACAGAGGAAGTGTCTCAAATTCTAAAGTAAAGAACAAATAGTGGATTGAACGACAAATACACAAGTGAGGGGTGTATAAGGTGGTGTAAGTCGTTGTATTTCCCCTCTTGTAGGTACTGTAACGGTCGTAATCTGGCGGTCAACCCTCAAGGAGGTAACACCGGGCTGGTTGGAGGCAGCGTGCCTGTTTATGATGAGGTCATCCTCTCCACTGCCCTCATGAACAACATCCTTACCTTTGATAGTATCTCTGGTAAGTCTTAAAATGCTTCAGTCTCACACAGAATCGGCTGCCTGTCTTTTCAATGTTTGTTTATGTGCTTACAGCATATTAGACTAATCTTTAAGAATTCTTCCCTCCATGTGTCAGGCATTCTGACCTGTCAGGCAGGTTGTGTCTTGGAGAACTTGTCCACTTACCTTGAGGACAGAGACTACATCATGCCACTTGATCTGGGGGCAAAGGGTAGTTGCCACATTGGGGGAAACGTGGCAACAAATGCGGGGGGACTCCGGCTGCTGCGATACGGTTCCTTACACGGGACTGTGCTCGGCCTGGAGGTGGTGAGTGGATTAAATACATGAGAAACTAGTAGTATGTTAAGAAGGATTAATGCACTAATGTTTGTCTGTGTATGTATGTGGCATGTACAGGTGTTGGCAGATGGGCGAGTGCTGGATTGCTTGGCCACACTGCGTAAAGATAACACAGGATATGACCTCAAACAGCTCTTTATAGGGTCAGAGGGAACACTGGGGGTCATCGCTGCAGTGTCCATCCTTTGTCCACGCAAACCCAAATCTGTTAATGTGGTTTTTCTGGGTACGATTATCTCATATCTCCATATTTCTCATATTTTCTCTTGCAGAACGTTGAGGAGATCGTATCACAGTCCAGTTGATAAATGTCGAGATGAGTTTCTTTCCATCGATTTTTCATTTTTCTTTTGTTCTCTTTAATTTCTTGTTAGGCTGTGAGACTTTTGAGCAGCTCCTGAAGACGTTTCAGCTCTCCAGAGGCATGCTGGGAGAAATTCTGTCAGCCTACGAATTCCTGGACAGTGAATGTATGAGGCTGCTGAATACGCACCTCAAACTACCCAATCCCATCTCTGGTAGTCACACACACACACACACACACACATGCAAACACTTAGTTAATAAAGCCGTTAACCACACAACACCCCCGTGCCAAACGCTTTCTTCCATCTTGCAGATTGTTCATTCTACGTCGTGATAGAAACATCTGGATCTGACCCAACACATGACGGGGAAAAACTCCACAATTTCCTAGAGGAGGCGATGACGTCATCATTGGTTACCGATGGGACCGTGGCGACTGAAGACTCAAAAATAAAGGTATTGTTTCAAATTTTTTTTAAGAATAAGTCTGTTTATATTCTACAACCAGTCCCATGAAAAGACAAAAAGCTTTCGACCTAAACTTAAGTAATCAGTTTCATACCAGGGGGGTTTAAATAATACTTCTGTGTTAGCCTTAACTATGTCGAAAATCCTGGTGAGGATGATGATGACGACTTCCACTTTTTCAGGCACTGTGGTCGATGCGTGAACGCGTCACAGAGGCGCTGACTCACGATGGCTTCACTTACAAGTATGATATCTCACTTCCCGTGGAGCGGATCTACCAGCTGGTGACGGACATGAGGGAGCACCTGGGGGACCGAGCCAAGAGTGTAGTGGGATACGGACACGTAGGTAAGACCAGAAGATGGAAAGACGGATATCAGGAGGGAAATAATGGCCTGCTAGCATGAGATAGGATCTCTTGGTATCTATTTTATTAGTACACCTACAACAGCTTGATCTCATTTTGAAATATGAGTAATTGTAGTATATACGGGGTTTACACATGGTAAATTGACTTGTACACACACACACCATGTAAGGTACCACCTGCCCATCAGAATGAACTAATCATCTGCATTTGCATCTGTACTTTTAGGAGATGGAAACCTGCACTTGAACATCACCTCTCCTGTCAAAGACCCGGCTCTTCTCGCTGCCATCGAGCCTTTCGTCTACGAGTGGACGGCCAGCTGTCACGGCAGCATCAGTGCAGAGCACGGACTGGGCCTGAAGAAGAGGAACTACATCTACTACAGCAAACCCAGCCAGGCTGTAGCTCTGATGGGTAATATCAAGGCCATGCTGGACCCCAAGGGTATTCTCAACCCGTACAAGACTCTCCCAGATAACCTGAAATGAACCAAACTGTCTCAGTTGTGGGGTAAGTGGGGATGTATACAGGGCTCATGCAGGAGCTCCATCTGAGCTACAACCTTATTGCCACATGGTTTTTATGGCAGCTCATGCTCTTTCCTATAAAACCTTTTTCACACATTTAGTGTCGAGCTGCAGGTTTTTGCAGGTAGTTTCATCGTCACGTGCACAAAGCATTACTCTTAGAATGACATCCACTTTAACGAGCTGCTGACTTTGTACTGTAGCAGTGGTTAGACTGGAATGTTAGAGTATTAAGGTGTTGTACGTTATAAAGTTGTGTAAATGTACTGGCTGGCTAATTACTGGGCAAGAGTGCAGTAACTATTTTATCACATAAAGACAAAACATTCTTTCCCAAAACAAACCCCGGCATTTGTGAACAAATGTATTTGTAACCACACACCTAGGCAACATTAAACTCTGTTTGAAATGACTCTTTAATAAAACTGTTCCCAAATGAAGAGCACCTGGTGCAGTGTTGCATGATGGGAGATGAGGTGTTAATAGAAGCCCGACTCGCTACAGAAAACAACTTCACTTGCAATATAACAATGTCAGTTGACCACAAACAAGTATTCCGTGATTCCTCTCTGCTTGCACAAATGAGTCAGTGAGTTTATGAAGTGAGTCAGGCAGAGTATCATATTGTTATTGTAAGGTGTGTGTGCCTCCAGGAACCACCAGGATAATTGTGTATCTGTAATATTGATCCTGTTTTTTTTCCATACACCAAAAAAGCTCAGTGCACTTTTTCCCTCTATTTCTCAACTAATCATTTCTTACGATTCTTTTATTGACAATATGTTTAGTTTGTTCTTTAAATAAATGTGTATTTATCACTTTTAACTCATCTGGTCTCCCATTCATGTGGCAGCCTTTGACAGGTTGTAACAGCTATACTAAGACTTTTTTGTGACTTTTTCCCAAAAAAGTCATAGTATTGTATGTCGAAATAAGTAATGCATATACCAACCCCCAACTGCTCGGAGTTCCTGACTATAGCAGCACAATTGCTCCAACATCTCTCCACAACAATAATGCTTATAGGTCCTGTTTGTGCACGTCTGTTTTAAGCCCATGTGATTAACTAGGGAGTGACAAAACAGAAGGATTAATCAAACAATGTGAAAACTGACAGTCTGGATAATCACTAGGCAAAAGAGCAGTAACTGTTTTATTACATATATAAAAAAAAGACAAAGCAGCATTTTTTTTCAAAACAAACCCAGCATTTAAGAACAAATTAATTTGTGACCGCACACCGAGGCAACTTTGTCTGGTAAAAATGAATCTTGAACAAAACAATAAAACTCCAAATGAAGATTGAGTGTTTCCCTTGTTATTCAGGCAACTTGTACAATGTGACATGATGGGAGACGAGTAGTCAATGGAAGCCCACCTTCACCTCTTCTACCTCTCGATATCTTAATGTCAGCTCTATCACAAACAAGTCTTCCTTGCTTCCTCTCCGCTTGCACAGAAGAGCCACAGTGAGTTTACGAGGTGTGCCAGGCAGAGGGTATCATATTCCTGTTATAAGATACAGACTCATTCCTATCGGCAGGTACTTGGTGTGCGTCTACTCCAGAGCCACCAAGATCATTGTGTATCTCTAGTGTTTTATCCATTTTTTCCCCCCATCCTACAAACAAGCTCAGCAGGAATCACTTCCTACCCTTTGCTTTCATTTCTCACGAAATTATTTTTCACCAGCTCCAATAATGACAATATGGGTGCAGACAGTCCAGTAGAGTTAATGCCTGTGTATACAATCCTTTTCACGCACCATCAGTGTTACATTATCCACAGCAGTTTGGTAGCAGTTAATAAATAACATTTTTTTAAAAGTTGAAATCATTTGATTCTATTGGCTGTGCTCCTTTTGTAAGTGAACATATGTGTGGTTTGTAGAGATACTTGTCATGTTCTATTAAAGCAGAACGCCACAACCACAGGCCAAAAAACACTGACTGGGGATCAGAAATTGAATTATAAGAGACACTCCGTAAGTAAGTGTGTGTGTGTGAGCAGTGTTGCATGGGCGTTAAAGCATTGGGATGGAGTACTACAATATGCCATCCTGTAACAGTCTACAGTTCAGGTTAGTGTGCACAATGGCACCTGCTTTGTGTCCCGTCACAAAGGCTGGCTGTATTCAGACAGGACTAGTCCAAACGTTTGTGGGCTTCAAGTAAGAGAGGGATGTCAGTGGAAGGCAACCACAGAGAAAGTGAGAGAGCAAGTGAATGATGAGGCTGGATGACATTTGAACAAGTCCTTCCTCTGGTCGTCTGTCCTTTCCCATTATCGTCCTTTCGTCCATTTCACAAACACCGGACGCTTCTCTAAGCCGATCCCTGACATCAGGAAGCTTCACCCGAGGCTCCCCACCCCCCCTCACGACTCCTTGCCCTTCTCCAGAGAGCTGTGGATCTTGTCCAGGGTTTTCTTGATGCGCAGTGCCGTTAGCCTTGCAGACGGGTTCTGGTACCAACACTCCTTCATCAGTTTCACGAGAGCAGAGAGAGTCTAAGAGAGAAGGGAGGAAGAGTGGATCAAGAAACAAAAAGGAGAGTCATGCAGTGATACACGCACAGCGAGCGGTGGCTCTTGCTAATGAGCGATTCAAATCACACAACGATGTGGGGATGATGTCTCTTGAAGCAGTGGTTCTGCACATCTTTGGCTTGGGTCAATAAAATTGCGATTAAAAATGTCTTAAAAAGTCAGAATAGTATGCCATAAAAATTCACAAAAAAAGAAAAATCATAGTATCATATGTCATAAAAATGTATGTCATAACAAGGTAAGAGTATAGTATGTCATATGCCATTAGTTAGTGTCAGAAATAAAATGTCATAAACTCAATTAATCATAAAACTGTCATGTTTTAGTATGTCAAATGTCTCAAAAAAAGCCATAAAATCATAATGTCGTCTGATAAAAATGTCACATAAATTGTCATTGTATAGTGTGTGATAAAAGGGTAGCATGCCTTACATACATCGATACAGTACAGATACTCGAGTGATACTTACAGGGTCAGAGAACCAACGATTAGGAATGAAAGGCCTCTGCTGCTCCACACACACCACCTTCCTCATGTCCTCGAAGCTGGGGTCATTCGGCACCTGATCGTAGAACGGAGGCTTGTACTCCTCAACAATACCTGGAAATTCAAATTGGGATGATGGAGATTAGAGCGAGTAACTGGATCAATAGGAGGTCTCAGCCTGAAGCCGATCTGAACACACAACAGTATATAAAAGTAAATAAGAAATTAGAGGTGGTTGTTTATTGTGTAACAGCCCTAAAATGCATGCCACTCACCATTGCTGTATGTGCGTCTGGCTATCTCCCACAGCACCAACCCAAAGGCCCAGATGTCCACTCTCTTATAGGCATCAAAGCAGTCTGTCTGAATGCTCTCGTCCAGCACTTCAGGTGCCATGTAGCGCTTGGTGCCAACCTTCGGATTGTTGCCCACATCCAGCAGGTTGTCTGCCTGGGAGTGGGTCACAGCCAGCCCTGTAACAATCACACATCACCAGTGTTTTACTAGGACGATAACTGGGTCGATATAGAAATTCTGGCAAAAATATTCACCGGGTATGAGATGGACAAATACAGAGACGGGCCTCGATCACACCGAGACACGTCGCCAGCAGAACGCTCCTCTGACACACAACCAATCAAATCATGCGAGAGCTTTATTACTTTGAGAAACGCACATCCAGTGTCTGACAGGATGGGTGCTGGAAAAGAATTACTTCGCAGAATTTACTACTTTAGGCTCAACTACTTTACCACTTCCTTCCTGTTTTGATGGTTAATGTGGTAGGAAGGAAGAGTGGGAGGCAAACGCAGACAAAAGATTGATAGTACTCGTAGATGAAGGAACACGAAGGACGACAGACTAACCCAGGTCTGCGATGCAGCAGCGCAGCTCCTTTGTGACCAGGATGTTTTTGCTCTTCAGGTCCCGGTGAGCGATGGCCGGTTTCCCCTCTGTGCCAAAGATCTCCGTGTGCAAGTGCACCAGGCCGCAAGCTATCGACGCCGCCATCGCCAAGCTCTCCGACGGCTCCACGGCCACTCTCTGCAGGTAGTCGTAAAGTGACCCGTTCTCGTGGTAATGGGTGATGAGCCACAGCTGGGTGCTGGAGTTGCGAGAAGTCATGTCGGACGCCATGAAGCCTGGGAGAAGAGAGATGAGAACTGTGAGCAAAGTTGATCAAAATGTGTTGGATTTATTCATCTATTTAACCGAACTCTAGATCCACCTTTTACTTTGAAAGGCCAGACAACTCGGTAATCCTGTTATTTGGAAAAGATGTAGTGGATCTGGTTGTATTTATTCATTCTCAGAGAGATATATTAGGTGAGCAAGTACTCTCAGAAAAGGTAGGTCATAATGCAAACACGGTGTGTGATGCTGCTGCTGTGCTTAATTCATCAATCTATATTCTAATGTGCCGGATTGGTTTATTGCACAGGTGTTGCATTTGTATTGCGTGCACCTCTGTGTGTAACAGCTTTCACACATAAAGGTGTTAAGACATTTTGAATGTTTCACGCATTTAGCTTGAAAAAGAAAATTGTATTTCAAGAGTTTCTACAACAAGGCGATTCAAACTGCTTCACATAGGACATGAAAAGAATTAAGTCAACGATGTTCTTGTTAACAATGCTAAAATGATGATCTCTGATAGGAATGAAAAGACAATGGGGAAAATCTCATTGTATACAAGCAGACATTAGACTTCTCTTCTCACCCAGTATGTTTTCATGTCTTAGCAGCACAGTATTGTAGATCTCCGTCTCTCTGAACCAGGACTTCTCATCTCTTGAGGAGAAGATTTTCACAGCTACATTCTCGCCCTGCCACTGGCCCCGCCACACCTCTCCATACCTCCCTTTGCCTGGAAAAGAGAGGTGAGGAAAGGAGAAATTAAAGAGACACCTGCATTTAGAAAGCTAACGTCTCCAAATCAACAGCACAAAGTTGTACGCAACCACATTTTTCCAATTCCAAACGGGTACAAACTGTTCTGTGCGGTACAAAACAGGACCTCAAAGCATGTGACCTACATACTTTCATTTGAATGCTCAAATTACAAATGGATTGATTGATAATGAGTAAACCTTTCATCACCAACCAGAACTGAAACAAACGTTCTACGTACCTACACACTCCATCAGGCTGATCTGCCTGGCCACGGTTCTCTGGACGAGGAAGGGGAGACCTGAACCACTGCCTGATGTACACGAGTGGTCCAACAGTTCCTAAAGACAGACACAGATATGAGATTAGCTGCTTATGCCATAATCGTTAGAAGGCACTGAAGTATACACATATCACACATAGCTGCACGGCTACTGGAGTTCAGCATCAACAAAGATCAACAAATGTGTTTTTGTGCTTTGGATTCAGTGAGTAGTCGTTATGTACTCTTTGTCTTTATCAACATCTTCTTCTGCACCTCGCTCACTCTTACCGCTAAAGTGCTGTCTCCCACATTGGAGGTGATGAGGCCGTCTATGGCTCCCTGTTCAGTGTCAAACTCCTGCAGCCTCTGCAGACGGCCGTGATGGAGCCTCCTGCAGGCCAAGACTGATACTGCAGACAGCAGAGCCAGAACCACCACCGGGCCGAGAACAAAAAGAGCCAAGGTCTCCACACGGTACCGAACCGGCTCACCTTCTGGTGCTGTGGACAAAAGGGGGGAAATTGAGATTGTGACTTTTGACTGATTATTTAACAGACAGCTACAGGAGATTATTATTGTATTTGCATGTCGTGAACTACTATCAACCTGTTGGAAGCAGAGACATCAGTGAACTCCTGGTGGTGTTGCCGTTGCACATTTCTTGGGAGCAGCAGAAAATGGCCTGGTGGAAAGACGGAGCTGTGGAGCAATGCAAGCGGATTTTGTCCAGCCCCTCTAGGCAGCCATGCTCAAACACCACGCCACTGCTGCTGACTTTGACCGAGGAAAAGCAGCGAGTACCGTGGCACTTCGTGGCCCGGAGGGATTGAGGGGTTTCACACAGACACTCCAACTTCCCATCTGTGGAAGAGATGATACGAGTTCAGCATACACTCATGTTGTATCGCAGGGCATAGAAACACATAAAACGCTGTCGACTTATTTAAGGCAGCAAGACTTCTGTCTCACCAACTTGTTTTCACTCTTAATCAAACTAGCAAGCTTTCTATCTGGCAAACATAACAGTCAACTAAAAGACAGATGAGCAGCAGGTGAGGTGGAAGCTGAAATTATATGTAATGTGCACCATTCCTGGTAAATAAATGAATAAATAAAAAAATAACATCGCAAATCCACCAGTTTTCTCCTTTTTCTATTTTGTTTATTAGCAAAGATCTACCACGTGAATGATTCTCACTCGAAATGAACTATATATATATATATATATATATATATATATATAGTGCATGATCATCTGACTGCACCACATGAACAGACATATAGATAACATCACGGTCTGAAAACAGTCAAACATAACATTTATAGACAATACCTGAGCCCTCAGCTGATGCCTGCAGGGCCTGCAGGAGGAGCAGGAGCAGGACGTGGACACTGCAGCGACCCATGATTCAGTGCACTGAGAGAAGAAGGGAAGAGGAGCCAGAGAGAGTTCAAATGAGTACTCTCATGCAAAGAGGATCATTACATCTATGTTTTCTGATAATCCCTGCCAAGCCTTCAGACAGAGAGGAAGCGACTACTTCTAATGGCTGAATGTCAACAGTCCTGTTTGTCTTTGTCAAAGCTTTATTTAAAACATATGGCTGATTATGGAATGAACCACAGCCATTTCAAAGACAACCACCTATAATATAGTTATAATAAATAGCTAAAGGTCTTTACTCTGACATAATATAATCCCGAGTTTAGTTCTTAATTAAGCTGCTATTTATTACCAATGGCTTTGAAGGTAACATCACAGTACTGGAGCTGTTCCTTTGCGAGTCAACGTTAAATATCGCATATGCAACAAATAACGTTAGCATCATAACACAAATTAAGCTAGCACGTTACATTTCAATGTCACAGCCTCGGGTGATGTGAAGTACAGCACCAAGCAAAGCTATTAGCAATCCCCCTTCGTAAACCTCACAGACAGGGGGGGCCTGGTTGTTTGCTGTAGCTCACAGGCCATTAACGAGCGGTTTTATTGTCCGTCTACAGGCGCCTCGGAGGCGCCAGTCAGACAGACGTCTGCCCGGTGCTGCTGCTGCTGCTAGCCGTGCGGGCTAAACTAAGCTAGCTCGCAAAGCACACGGCTCAGCCGGGCGATAACCATCAGATACAAAGAGATACTAAACATATAAGCCTACCTGGCACATGCGAAATACAGCCTCTAACTCATTATGGGATGTCTGTCTATCCCTATTGGATCGTATTGGCGTTATTTGTGATGAAAGAAGCCGAAAACAGGATCACAACCCAGCCCACCCACTGGCTGTCTCTTCCCTTCCAGCCACACATGACGTCACCAAAACATTATCCTCGAGGTGCATTGTGGGTCAGGGGAGTCCTCCTACAGGTTGTAGACCAAAATAACTGTACCATCATGATGTATTTATCTATGAATAATGCAAATTGTGCAAATTTGGGCTTGTTGATCATTTAATAGTGTTCTAACTTCAATTTATAATCTACGCTCTTGTTTTTGTCCACTTGCGTACTTACTTAAATGTGAAATCAACTTTTGATGACTGAATTTCTGTTTGGTGAATTTTATTTGAAAACAAGTTGAAGGGCTTAACATTAGTTTCTGACATTTTTTGGTACGGCTAATCAGAAAGTTGGCATGGTGAAGCTTTGGCTAAATTTGGATCAATGCTTAATTCTATATGTATCATCAATGAGAGTGTCTCGTAATATGATCCACTGCCTCTTTATTCTGAGTGAAAGACTGCGGTCAAGGATCACTATTTGCATGACAAATAAATCTGCAAGTTTGAAGAATAGATAACTAACTTAAACCATATGTTTTGTATGACGCTGTCTGATTATAGTAACAGCAATATAGCAGGGTGTCCACTGCCACTTTTTCTGTTTCTTCTCATGTAAATTACATGAGAAGAAACACAGAAAAAGAAAATCCACATATATCATATTTTAGAATCACTTTCTAGAAGAAAAGAGCAGTGATGCTGTTTCACATGCAAATGCAATGTATTTATTCAGTACATTCATTTTTTTAGATCCTCATTTACTAAACAACATTGACTGTGAGACAAGAAGTGTCAACTGGGTGACTTACAGCCTCAGCGAAAGTTTCAGAATTGAAAACCCTGTTTTCTCCGTTTGCTACTATTTGATTGCAAATACTGCTTGATTCAAAAAGTCCCACTGTGCTTCCTTGTTCCTTTACCCATGCATGCTGAGAACCAAATACCGCAGCCCCCCCCCCCCCAAAAAAGAGCTCTCCCTCGCGAAAAAAACGCTTAATGAAAACTAAGATGACCCTTTATGTCCTATAAGCAATCATGCAGATCTGCCATTGCCAACCAAAAGGTGGATTAGAAGATGAGTTAATTTTACTTGACTGCTCAACAACCTCTACCTGTTTCGATTCATCTAATTCTTGTTTGGCTCAGTGGCTCTTCAGAAAATACGTGTCAGTGAGTGTGTGTACAACGAGAGAGAAAAGGGAGAATTGTATGAAGTAGTAGATATGTTTTCCCTCATGGGTCCCGCGGCTGCGAACAATCGCCAGTGCTGTTTTGTTCTTGCCTACCTGGGGCTTTAGTATCCAGTGAACAGGAGCAAGACCCAGCCGGTATCTATTCTCCCCGAACACGGCTCCAGTACAGAGACACATTGTCCTAAGCTTTTTTTAATTAAACACCCTGGGTCAAGACTCTGTGCCAGGTGACCTGAACTGCTCTGAGCCTACGTGTGTCTGTTGCTATCCTCACCACTGGGGATAAGTCTCAGTGGATAATTGGAGGTGGAAATGCAATACTGATATCATGAGATGGAGGAAGGATTATCCACTGGAACTTTGATTTAAGAGGAGGAGAAAGAGGAATAATACAATGTTTTCTTCTTTCCACATCCAGCCTACCTGCCTCTTTCTCCCACCTTTTACCCTCTCACCCCCTCTTTCCCACTTTCTCTCTCATAACCAGGTTACAAGAGAGGGAGGGAGTAGCTGAGGGACTATTTTTCTTCAATGAAATCCACCTGCTCCTCTTCTCTGTTCTATTAGAGAGATTTTTCCAAGCAGGATTCCCACCAGAGCCGACATGGAGCGTCTAGAGAGAAGACTGCCTGTAGCATTCCTCCTCCTTCTGCCTCTTCTGTCTGTCAGCTGTGTCTCCAATACCAAAACTACAGGTACATCCAAAAGAGAATCAATTTAAGACTATTGTAGATAAAAAATTAAAAAAAAATAAAATAAACTTTATTAACTTATGTGTGTTTTAAGTGATGTTTTACATGTTTTAGAAGGTGAGGTTCGGGGTGTAGTTATGAAACATTTGCAACCCTAAACCAGCATTTATTTTTCACTTAAATTGCAACTCTTCCCCCGTTTTGTGCAGTCTCCTGGTGTGTGTTGTCTGACGCTGAAGAGCAGAAGTGTCTGGATTTGTCCGGGAACACCACAGCTCAGAACATTAGAGGAACTTTACGATGCGTCCGTGGCCTGAACACCAGAGACTGTATGAACAAAATCAAGGTACCTGAAGAAAATGGAATGGGGAAGTGGATTGTCCAGATTGCATTACATAATATGACTATTTTAACCTCCATTATTTACTCAATTTCCCCCAAAAAGTTTTTGGTTGCGAGGGTGTAATAAACAGAATTATTTCACCTGGTCCTCAGCAGTTCTTCTGGACAATTGTTGTACACCGCCTCAATATGTCCACATTTGTTTTTATAAATATTTGGTACTTTAGCAGCGACATTTGAAATTGACAAAATAAATGTGTCTTTGTCAGAATGGGACAGCAGACGCAGCCTCCGTGTTTGCTGACGACATCTATGCTGCTGGCTTCTGCCACGGCCTGGAGCTGGCTGCAGGAGAGTCCCATAACGGAGTCGGTAAGTCACGGGTTTGAGCATTGCAGCACTGAAGCTTCAGCAGCTTAACTAATGTGACTCTCTGAAGATAAGGTCATGGTTATACCTACACAAGGGCGACAGATACAGATGTAGACACATCATTCTTTGTGTCTTGTATCTTTATTAATTACTATATTACCTTTTTTCTTCAAGCACCGCTGATTTGACAAATGATTCGCACATGTTTTCTCCAGATGGTCTTAGCTACTACGTGGTGGCGATGGCACGTCGTTCCTCCTCAGACCTGTCCCTGCTGGAGATGCACGAGCGCAGCTCCTGTCACCCCGGCATGCGCACCACAGTGGGGTGGACTGTTCCTATTGGCTACCTGGTCAACACGTCCCAGATCAGAATTGGGGAGCAGTGCAACTTCCCCAGAGGTGAGACAGAGCGGGACGGGCTCGGGAAGGTGAGGGGCGATGTATAAAGTGTACGTGTGTGCTGGTGCGTCGAAGCCGTGTGAGAGGTTCAGTGGGAGGAAGCAGTGGTGTGAAACCAAGAGTGAAGAGATTCAGGGGAGGAGAGGAGAAGAGTCAATTAGAGAACAGTTCATCTGTCTTTGTAAATGTGAGAGAGTGTGTGAGTGTGCGGTTTAGCAATGAACAGAAAGACATATTAGAAGATGGCAATTTCTTCAAGAGGGGGAGAAGGAAAGATGAGGCCGGCAATATTTAGCCTAGTTTTCTTTTCATCAATAAATCCCATGACACCAAAAATGAATTGATCCCCCGAACAAGTATAATGTTAGTGTTTTTGTAAATCTGATATATCCTAATACTCTTTGCCACAGAGCTCCACTGTTTTTCAAAAACTATTAAAAACACATAAATGCCAAAAAAAAGCATTGCACTTGGTGACATGTTTCTTTAATATGAAAAAATGGGCACTGTAGTTTATTTTGAGCCTGTAAATACCCACTCGACCAGAAAAACAAATCTCTATTAATCTGCATCTTAAAATAGTCAGCTGCAGATTATTACAGCAATATTTACTCTTGTTTCTACTCAGCCTTTAAAGAAATTAAACTATATATTTGCGACCCATAATAAGAGTTTTCCATCCTCAGGGGTAACCAATGCATTGGAGCTGAGAGCACAAGTAGTGTCAGTAAACACTATAGATACTACAACACTATGAAAAAGGACAAATTAAAAACATCTTATAAGACAATTACCACTTAATACTTAAAAATCCAACAGATAATTACCAGAGAAGATATTTTGAAGACCCTAACTAATGCAACTAATGATTATTTTCATTATCAATAAATCTGCCAATTACTTTTACAAATGTTTAATTAAGTAAGTAATTATTTGGCAGACAAAAAGTGAAGAAATGGCTGTTACAGTTTCTTAAAGCCAAGTGTTTTCAGTTTATCACATAAAACAAAGAAAAGCAGCAAATCAACACAAGTTAGAAGCTAAATCTGTCATTTTATTCAAGTGTCAAAGTAGTTCTCAATTCATATTGAGTTAATTAATCAATCAAGTGTTTTGGCTCGAAGGGTTGGTAATAGTTTGACCCTTCTTTTTGACACTCCACTTGTCTTCAATACACGTAATATAATTTAATTTAATTCTAGGGGTGTGCTGGACAAGTTAGACGTGTCTAATCTGAGGACTGACTTTATCATTTTAAATGAAGTCATCCTCCTTCACCCTCTCTTATTCTTCCTCCTAACTCATTCTTTTGTCTTTTTCACCAGCCGTTGGCAACTTCTTTGGTTACAGCTGTGTGCCGGGTGTTAAGGACATCCAGCACGACCCGAGAGGCAACAACCCTAAGAACCTGTGCGAGGCCTGTATAGGAGACGATAACGACAGACACATCTGTGCCAACAACCACAGAGAGAGGCACTACGGAGAAGCAGGAGCACTGAGGTACAACACTGACAATAATAACATGGGAAATAATATGCTAATGGCACCCAGAGGTGGAGTAGTTAAAACCTCTGCCTCTGTGTCTCCTCTCATTTTCATCCAGTTCAGCCTACTGTCTCCATAAATTAAAAAAATTGTCATTATAGCGGCCTGTTCTGAAAAATATAATAGAGTGGTGATAGTAATAATACAGTAATGAATGATTAATGACCCTCATGAGTGTTTTAGGGTCTGTAGAAGACACAACATGAGAGAAAAACTCTTTAAAACAGACTACAAACAGAACAAACAGCTTGGATGATCGATTAGTGTGTGCTGCAAATTGCTTGTAAATGTCAGTTTCACTATATGCCTGCATGTTATAATTGTAGACAATAACATGATTTCATTCACAATTCCCATATACAGTATATTACTGTGTATTGCAGTGCAGTAGTGCTCAGTAAACTCGCCTTCAGCGGAGCAGGTAAGTGTGTGTGCAACAATAGGCGGCAGAGGGAGTTTACTTATGGTCTCCAGAGTCATGCTGTTACAAAAGCATATTCCCGAGTGTGCTGATTTCCACTTTCTTTATCTATTTATAGACTAAATGTGTCTGATTATTCATGTGTTTTGTGTTTTTCTTTCAGGTGTGTCGCAGAGAACCTCGGTGACGTGGCATTTGTCAAACACACAACACTCTTTGACAATTTGGACGGTCAGTGTTAATATGCATTTTTTTTAAACCACACCACTGGTTACACAATGATGTCATTGTATTATTTAAATGATGTATGATGAGGTTACTTGGGGCCAGCAAAGAGAGAGCGTGCTAGTCCATGTCCAGACACAGGATGTCAGTGTTTCACAATGTCTCTCTTAAGAGTCTTTTTCACAGTGTGTGAAATGAATCCCGAAAATACAACGAACAGATTATATATGTGTTATTGAGACAGAGATAGACAAAGACACAGATGGATAACTATTAGAATGAAAGAGAGTATAAGTGAGAAACAGATATGAAACAGAGAGGAAGGGGACAGACAATGGTTCAGACATGTTTGTCCAGCATAAAAAAATGCTCCAATTCTTTGTTTGCTGCATCTGCTTCTCAGCTCTGGGCAACATCCCAAATTAATGGCGATCATTATCACAGTCACGCTACACAGACTCTGCTGGTACAGCCGAGAAGAAGCCGTTTGACACCGGCTCCGCAAACAGTGTAGCTGTCTAACGAAGCATGCTTTTTCATATGGTTCACAAACGTCCGAGGTCAGCGCAATTAACAGGGGGCAAGAAAACACAGGAGGTCTGTGCTGTTGTCGAGGGAGGGAGAAAATAGCTTCAAGGTGGTCGATCTTTTGCCTCTGATGTGTTTGGCTAAATGGGGTTTTGTGTGCTTTTTAGATTATTTGGTGGCCAACCAAATCTCACAAAATTCAAAAACAGTCCCGTTGGACTGTAAATTTCCCCAATCCAAGCCACTAACATTGGCCTAAACTCTGATATTGAAGCATCTTGGCTCCCACACAGTGGATGTGTCAGTCTTGAACAGATATATTTGTTACTGTAACCCCACAAAATAATGTAGTTATCTAAATCATGCCCCTTGCCTTTGGTGGTAAGGTTGCTACTGTAGGTAGAAGCTATAATTAGCCAGGGATGCTGACGTTTGCAACTTATGTTAGGGCAAATGAACATGCTGTGTAGTCCATTCTTTACACTTCTTGTCTCGTATCTTTGGTTTTGGAGAGGACTAAAAAAGATGCCACCATCGAAACACTTCCCACAGCCTCCACATTACAGCATTACTAAAAATGTTTTGGCATGTGGACAAATCCAAAGCTTGACAGGCCTTCAAACATCGAGGGACATTTATAGCATTTATAGCAGGTGGTAATTTAGCATTGGTCCACTTTATTTATAATCAAATATTATATAGATATTCTAGGCGGAATATAGTGTTATTTTTTCTTTGAAAAGTGTCTCTTTAATTAGTATGAACTTACATGATCACGTTGCTTCTTTGAGTGGGAATTCTAAATGGGCTTGAATTAAAATCGGACGCACCTTCACTCCACTGCGGCCCAGGTAAGAACCAGGAGTCCTGGGCCCTGGATCTGGAGCTGGAGGACCTGAAGCTGCTGTGCCCAGACGGAACCGAGGCGGACCTGGACGAGTTTGAGCGATGCCACCTGGCAGCTGTCCCAGCTAACGCTGTGGTGGTGCGCATGGAGGACAAGTGTCGCGTCTGGAAGTTCCTGGAACGTTTACAGGTGGGTGTGGACAGAAATTGCATCATCCGTGTGTGTGTGTGTTAGTCTCCAGATATGTATGGTTATGTCTGTCTCATGTCTCTGTGTTATCGATCAGCAGTGCAGGTATCTGCTAAACTGTCATCCTTCTTCCTTACTGAGTGTGTGTGGGAGACGCCAGGATGACTGATGCGTCCTGCGCTGATCCCCTGGCTACACACACACACACACACACGCAAACCCAAAGAAACACACACACACACACATGTACACAGAGCACGCCAACGCACATCCACGCATGCCCTCATGCATTAACTCCTGTCACACACTCGCTCTCTCTCCTGCAGAATGCGTTTGGCAACTCCACCGAGGGCTTCCGCCTGTTCAGCTCAGCAGGCTATGGCGAATCCGATCTGCTCTTTAATGACGCCACCCACCACCTGCAGAGAGTTCTGGGTAGCTACACCTCTTGGCTGGGCCCCACTTACACCACCGTGCTGCAAGCCTTCGAGTGTGAGGGTAAGAGTGATGATGTCTTTTTGCTTCTGTAAAAGGATGTTTGTGTGGATCTGTCGATGAAAGCGAGTGGCTAATTGGCTGGAGGAGTGTTGTCTCCTTTGTGCGTGTTTGTGTGTGTGTGAGTGTGTGTGTGTGTGTCCACTGCAGCTGTTCTCATTATTGCGCTTTCCCTCCAACAGGCTTCTGCTGATGGAGCAGGAGGACATCCAGCATATCAACTTCCACCCCATCCCTCCGTCTCCGTCCTTCCGCTCTGCCTTCCCTCGCTGCCATCTGTGCCCCTCTGCCACTCCGTCTCGCCATCTCTCTTCATCTTTGCTTTGCTTCTTGTGTTTGTGTCCTCCCTGCATTTCACCACCCATTCTCTACTATCATGTCATTGTCCTCCTTTAACATAGTGCTCCACTCTATAGTGTGCTGGCTGGCAGGGTAGGACATCGCGGAAATACATCAGAAAAATGTCCTCGAAAATGAGTTTAGGTTTTAAGATGACACTTGGAAGAAAGGGTGGGAAAGAGAAAACAATAAAATAGAATAAAAGTGCAAGTTAAGGAGTTCTCATGGTTTTGACAGATTGTGTGTCTTATAAAAGAGGATGTTGATACAGACTTTAATGGAAAATGCCACATAAACATGAAACATCTTCCTCAATATTGATTTATACATACAAAAATAGTCCTGTTAAATTGCCCTACCCTGTATGTTTGTCAGAAAATTGTGTTCTGGTTGCATTAGTCTAAGCATCAATACCACCCATGCACCCCACAACCTCCTCCCACAGGGTCTGTCTCTGGCACTGAACAACTGGGTGCTATTAACTTTGAGCTTAGAGGTCTCAGTTGCTGTATATGTGTGTGTGTGTGTGAGTGAGTATAGACTTTTTTTGCACAACCATTATTGTCCTAATTGGCAGTCTGGCATATCATACTGTGTGTAAGAGAGAGACAAGTGTGTGTGTGTGTGTGTGTGTGTGTGTGTGTGTGTGTGTGTGTGTGCAGGTGTCTGTATGTTTATGTGCCTATGTGTTATTGTGTTGATCGGGTTGCTGCTTTCCCATGGCTTGTAGCGTTTCACTTTGGATCACTGCTTTCTCATGTCTGGTATGGTGGACTGTACTATGCCAGCTCGCAGTGTTTTGTTACACTATACAGTTAGGAGAAACTGGATTAGGGCTTGGGCTGCCTCCAGTGACCCCCGAGTGAGTTTTTTTCCTCATCTGTGACATTTGCATCACCCAGAACACCCAAACTATACTCTTCAATGCCTACTTTGTCTGTCCTGATTCAACGCGTAAAGGAATAGGTGGATATCATTTATACTTTAAGTTTGTTCATAATAGCGAGACCTTGATAACGATAGAAGTTACTAACAGGAGGATGTCCAAGGCTGGTCTTAGAGGAATAAATTAGTCAGTGCAGTGTGTGATATTATAAAATAATTGTTATGAGGAAGAGTATTGCTGAATTAATGAACTATGAAGAAATGGCGATTGTAAAAAAAAAAAATAAAATCCATTAAATTTTCTGATATGTTTAAGGAAGTGTAATTAAAGAACAGTTAAGCGTGTTTAAAGCCTCACTTGACTCACAGAATCATGTACTGTAAACGGATACCGACTGTAATTCTGGGCTTTAATCGTCTCCATCTTTATTATTTGCTTTGCATTCTGCACCACAGAGCTCGGCAGTAAACTGATAAACCGGATGAAATTCTCCTCGTCAAACTGTGTTTTTTTCACCTCATGGAACTGGAAGAAATCCAATGAATAAGAACTAATACAACAGATACAAATGCAGGATGTATTTGCAGTCTTGCTGAGGCACTGTTGTTGCATTTCATAAATGTACGGGTGACATTTTGGCTCTCGATGGCAAAAAAAAAAAACTCCTCAAGTGTGAATGTGCGAGATGAAAGACGCCACAATTCTTGAGAGAAGCAATAATTTGCACCTCATTTGCGAAGGATAAAGGCATGACTGGCTGTGCAAATTCAGTTCTGGTTTGTACCATTGGTGCTGTTTCTACTGATGTCCGAAAATGATGTAAATACTCACAGCTTGAACGTGTAGTGCTGCAAACCTTTCTTTTTCAACCAATTAAATGAATGATGATAAAAAGAATCTGCAGTCTTTTCTGTCTGACTTCTAATTATCCTGAAACAGCTACATGATATCTGTGTGGAAATGAATTATGCTTGATATCATCTCTCTTGGTGCATCTCACACTGCCTTCTCTCGCTCTGTTTCTCTGCTTCTTGCACACACATCCAATCAGTAATAGGCTGTTTGCTCCCTCTCTCTGTCATTTTGGAAAGGTAGGAGAAAAGGAGGAGAGGAATTAGGTTGTAGAGGAGTAGGGGAAAAAAAAGAGGTCTCACACACACACACACACACACAAAGGCATGCGTACAGAGACTCAGGTGTTCACTCAGGTGGAGAGGAGCACCTCCCAGGTAGACAGGTGAATCAGGGACACCAAATCATCATGGGTGGTCCCCGCGTAGAGACAGACCTCTACTCAGCAGGCACCAAAATGCCCCTGCTGGCACTGTTTCAGCACATTTACAACATTAATCCTTGAGAGGAAGACTGTGTCTGTGTCTGTGATGGAGGAGGACCATTTAGCTGCGAGCAGATATTGTAGATTAAACTGCATTGCAGCAGAGCGCTGCAATCGCTTTCAATCCTCAGCACTCTTGCTGACCATTTTGCAGTAATGCACAAATAAAAACAACTAATGTGACCTCAGTGCAGCTCTCTCAGCCTCGAGGTGCGGGGTTTGTAAGAGAGGAAAGTGTGTAAGTGGTGGAAATGAACCAGTAATTTAACATTTTAGCATAAATACGGACAACAGAAGTGACAAAGATAAAGATTGAGAAGTAAAAAAAAAGATAGCTTTACATAATGGTAAAATAAAAATACACAACATTTATATTTTGATCTCAAAACTGTATGCGTTGATGTATTTCTGTTTTATGCCTCTGCACTGCAATTCAAGGGGGGCATTTCATTTCATATGATGCGCTGTTATAGATTAAACTACCCAACAACAGTATTTAAAGTGTAGTTCAAATCGACCAGCTACATTACAATCTGTGATAGAAACGTTTACTCAAGAGTGCGTATTAACACTTTATCCCACTTCACTTCGACTACTAATCTTTCAAAAGGAAATATTTTACATTTTACACTTATCTGACCCCGATTACTGTTTCTGCAGATCTTTCATATAAAGTACATGATCAACTTGCAACATATGACTCATTGATATAGTTCGCAGTAGTATATCATGTAGTTAGAATTGGCTCCACATTGAAGCAATACATAATTAAAATGCTGCTAACAATGGATCACTGATAACAATCTATGAAAATAGTAAATGCCATTTTCGGTTGCTGACAGCGCTTCTTTTTAATGGCGGCCTTTATTTGCAATGAGGGTATTTTTATAGTGTATTTTTACTTTTACTTCAGTGAATTATCTTAACACTTGGTTAACCTATAGTCCAGTATGTTGTAATACGAGTCTGAAAGGGGACATTTTGCTTGTAGAGCACTTTTGTAGCCTACATTTTGATCATTAACTTCACTTTAACTTCGGTATTTGAATAGCTTCTTCCACACCTTGTGGCCAACTTATCTGTATATAAAAGTGTATATTTGCGGTGAGGGTGTGTGTGTGTGTGTGTGTGTGTGTGTGTGTGTGTGTGTGTGTG